GTGTTCCTCGCACCAGCTCAAAAATGTTTTTAAATTCTAAAAAACGAAATCAAAACAGGACAGCAGTTAGACGGTCCAACTCTGCAAATCTAATTTCTGTTCCCTGTAGAAATCAATCAACCACATTAATCGACTCTGACGTTATTTTTAAACTTGCTATGCTTAATGTCAGATCTCTATGTAACAAATCATTTTTAATTAATAATTTTATCACTTCTTATGATCTTGATTTTATGCTTATGGCTGAAACATGGCTGGACCAAAATACAGGAAATGCAGTTCTAATAGAAGCAACACCACCCAATTTTAAATTCGAATCCGAAATACGAGAAAACAAAAGGGGGGGAGGCATAGCTGCAGTTTTTAGAGAGCACTTTGTCTCCCATAGAATGCCCCTTGGAAATTTTTCATCGTTTGAGTATATTTCTTTTAAAATGGAACAAAAGCAATCTTCTACTCTTTTCATTGTCCTGTACAGGCCACCACAGTCATGTTGCGATTTTATTGACCATTTTACTGAACTACTTTCATTCGTGTGCACAGATTTTGATAGTTTAGTTATTACAGGTGATTTTAATGTACATGTTGATAATGTTGATGACAGAAATGCAAAGGAGCTGGCTTCTGTATTTGAGACCTTTGGTTTCATTCAGCACGTGAGTGGCCCCACCCACAGCAGGGGGCACACTCTTGACCTGCTAATTACAAAGGGGGTTAATGTATCAAATGTTAATGTAGTTGATGTTGCTTTGTCAGATCATTTCTGTGTATTTTTTGACATGTGTTTTGCTAGCAAACCACCAGCTGAATTTACAACTGTTAGAAGAAGACACATACATGAAAACACAAGTGAACTGTTCATGGGAATGCTAAATTTTGAGAAAACTCCATGCTCTACTGTTGATGAATTGTATAACTCTGTCACCACCAGTGTTCTGACTGTTCTGGACGCCATTGCTCCTGTGACGGTTAAAATAGTTACCAGTAAGAAAAAGGCCCCATGGACTAAGGCAGACTCGGTTAGGGCACAGAAGCAAGAGTGCCGGAGGGCCGAACGGAAGTGGCGAAAGTCCAATTTCCAGGGCGATTATGAAATCTTTAAAGATGAGTTGGGTGAATTTAACCGGGTTCTACGTAGAACAAGAGAAATGTATTTTTCTGACATTATTGGAGGTTGCAGTAACAATTTTCGTGTTATGTTTTCAACAGTTGGTAGATTAACGAACCCCCCTGTAAAGTTGCCCCTAGAATTTTCCTCTAAATCTAGGTGTAATGAGTTCGCACAGTTTTTCGATGACAAAGTACAAGGAATCAAAAACACTATCACCTCCACAGCACGTATAACAATGCAACAGCCAGAGAAGCTTTCTGAGCTAACTCACTTTGCACCTGTGGATACTGAAACTGTCAAAAAGATAATCATGAGTCTGAGCTCCTCCACATGTAGCCTGGATATATTGCCCTCTAAATTTCTGAAGTCCGTCCTGAGCAGTTTGTTACCTTCACTGACACAAATAGTAAACATGTCTCTGTCGTCAGGAACATTTCCTATGGCCCTAAAAACAGCAGTCATAAGACCTCTCCTAAAAAAGAGCAGTCTGGATCCTGCGGGACTTCAAAATTATCGCCCCATATCGAATCTGCCATTTATTGGAAAAATTCTTGAAAAAGTGGCCTCCCAACAACTTACTGAATTTTTAACAATGAATAATTCTTTTGATATGTTCCAGTCTGGGTTTAGACCCCACCACAGCACTGAGACCGCTCTAGTGAAGGTAACAAACGACATTCGACTTCACACTGATGCAGGTAAAGTCACAGTTTTGGTCATGTTAGATCTTAGTGCCGCGTTCGACACTGTCGACCATGAGATCCTCATGCAGAGACTGGAGGACTGGGCTGGTGTCACTGGCACAGCCCTAGACTGGTTTAGGTCTTACCTGGAGGATAGGAAGTACTCTGTGGAGATTGGAGACTGCGTCTCAGATGATGTGGCCCTGACCTGTGGTGTACCACAGGGGTCGATCCTGGGACCTCTCCTATTTAATCTCTACATGCTGCCGTTAGGTCAGTTAATACAAAGAAACAAAGTGTCCTACCACAATTACGCTGACGACACTCAGATCTATGTCTCATTGACTGCAGGAGAACATGGACCACTGGATTTGCTCCTTCACTGTATCCAACAGATCAGTGACTGGATGCAAAATAATTTCCTCCAGCTAAATACAGACAAAACCGAAATCATTGTCTTTGGTCCCCAGAAACAAAGAGAGGGCGTCATTTGTCAACTTCAGTCTCTCTCCCTACTTCCTTCAGACAAGGTCAGAAATTTGGGGGTAATACTGGACTCAGACCTAAATTTCAATAGCCACATAAAATCAATAACATCAACAGCTTTTTACCATCTGAAGAACATTGCCAAAGTTAGAAATATAGTGTCCAGGGCAGACTTGGAGATTCTTGTCCATGCATTTGTCTCCAGCAGGCTAGACTACTGCAATGGCCTGCTTACAGGTCTGTCCAAACAGACCTGTAAGCAGCTGCAGTACATCCAAAATGCAGCAGCTAGAGTCCTGACAGGAACCAGGAAGTATGACCATATTAGTCCGGTCCTCAGGTCTTTGCACTGGCTTCCTGTGGCTCAAAGAATAGATTTTAAAACGGCTCTGCTTGTGTACAAGTCTCTCCATGGCCTTGCACCAGAATACATTAGTGACATGTTGGTGTCATATGAACCAGCCCGGACTCTGAGGAGCACAGGGACTGGCCTCCTGCTGGTGCCCAGAGTGAGAACCAAACATGGGGAGGCTGCGTTTCAGATCCATGCAGCTAAGATCTGGAACAATCTCCCTGAAAATGTGAGGGAGGCGTCTACTCTGTCAATGTTCAAATCCAGGTTAAAGACTGTTCTGTTTGCCTGTGCATACAACTGAAGGATTTTATCTCCATTTTTAATGCACTGCTGTCATTTATTTATTTTTTTAAATTTCTTGTGTAATTTTGAAAGTTTTAATGGTTTTATTCTTTTGTGTGATTTTAATGTTTTAATTGTGTTTTAATCTTTTGTGTGATTTTAATGTTTTAATTGTGATTCTGGTGTTTGTTTTATGTGATGATTTGTGATGTGGACTGTGAAGCGCTTTGTGTTGCCATGTGTATGAAAGGCGCTCTACAAATAAACTTTGATTGATTGATTGATTTATACTTTAATATATGTATACATTACTTATGAATCAACAGATTATTTAAACTTTTAAATAAATAATATCAATCTAAGATTGATATAAATAATTCATTTACTTTACTCTCTTACAGACATTGTATAGAAATTGTAGGAACTCTGAATCCCATCCGGAGCACTGTTCAGATGCAGTCTGGTCAGGGTATGCTCTCCCTCAGGCCTCAGTGCACTTAGGTCATACCGACCAGACCCGCCCCACCCTCTTATTCCATTACGACCCTCCTTATCACTACACATGCCTCCGGGCCACACTCTGCCTCTGGCTCAAAGATTGTGGGTCACATACCTACAATTACAACAGCTACTTTAATTGTCTTAATTTCCCTGCAGGAGGTAGTTGTCTCCACTGTCTATAAGCAATGGATTATTGTATTTAATGCGTGTGCGTTTACAGGTACTTCTCAGATCTTTTGAAGATTAGTGTTCTTCATCCTGTTCATTCTTCATTTACATACATACATACCGTACATATATATTATTATATATTTAGAGCCCAAAAATGTCTTCTCCAAGTCTTTCCTCTTCAGGTATGAAATGTAGCCAAGTGAAGTCTTCTGCTTGTCTTCAATGTAGATGGCAACCCTAATGCCATACTGTGGAACATTCTAGATAAAACAACACCAATGGATCAAATGGACTTGGGCAAAAAGTGAACACTCCATCAGGAAAATGAGTGCACCTTTAACACATTACTGTCTTTCAAGTTTGTGTTACATGTTTTTGTTGGTCTTTTTAACAAAATATGGCACATAACAGAAACATGACAGACAATGACAGACACATTATTTCTGCACCAATCCAAACATTTGAACGAGCGTAAAGCGTCACCAAACAGGAGGTGGTTCAGGCTCATCATCCCACTGTTGTTGCTTTACTGGTAATTACACCTTAGCACCTTGTACATGGTTGCTTAGATTGCACACTCAACAGATTCTGTTTTTTTCTCAGTTCTTTTCAGAAGGAAGAGACTGTGCTGGAACATGTAGCGGCTCAGGTGGGGCTGTGGGTGCAGCTTTTCTCACCTTGGTCGAAGTGTGGGAACAGCGGTAAAGCAAGTGGTGCATGAGCGGCAAGAGGCCAGAGGGAAGAGTGCAGCAATCTCCACCCGAAGAACACACAAACTCAGGGACACTGGTTCACTCAAGTCACTAGTAAACAGCAATTGGGCAATGACTCCTTCTTGGAAATATCATTCATTATTTTTGGTTTTCCCAATGATTGGATGATATCCAGTGCTTGACATAAATAAATGACTTTCGTCTTGTAACATGGAATTGTAATTTATAATTCAGAAATCTCCATATCTTAATTGTTTATTAAAGCAAAAATCCTCTTTGCAACCTAGGACTATACATTTGCGGACACGCTTTCACAAATGCAAGAACTTCAATAGACTTCTCTGACTTTTTCACCACAATATGATAGAGGAATAGACACAATCAGAGCAGTGAGAATAAATTGAACGCCACAAACAAAGCCATAGAAAGTAAACTTCAGAAATATCAGTCAAGCTTTGATGTAGCAGCGATTGGTGCGATAAGAAACATAAACAAATGTATTTTACACATTGCTCTGGGTAAAGTATTCCAGCATAAACGGCTGCTTATGATCTGGAAGTCCATCCTTTTCAATGATGTGAAGGAATGACAATAAATTGGCGCTGTAATAAAGATTTTTTAGAGCTTTTGGTGGGAGGCAGGGGCAGTAGGCTGGCAGCTGTTGCTGCTGTGAGGGGCCCTCGGGTCCCGGCCGAGGCCTAATGGCCGGACCAGCTGTCGGAGTTGTGTCTGTAGGGCGCAGGGCTTTGGAAGGCGGGGAGGGCATGAGAACTTCCACCCCCCTGTCCTGGGGGGCGGGCCTCGCCTTGTCTGCCCCGCTCTGAAAGGAGGTGATTGATGGCGCAGGCCTGACACCATGCTTCCCCAACAATTGACTCAGGAGGCAGAGAGGACAAACAGAGCGCTGCTCACCCTCCAAGCTTTTCTACTCTTTTTATCCATTGTTTTAATTAAGTCCTTTTTTCATCATGTTCTATCACTGAGACTTTCTGTGCAATGTGGGGCTTAGTGCAAAAGGCCATGTGGTGATAATCAAAGATGTGGGTGCAGTGTTAGTCAGATTATGTTGGTCTGAACATGGCTCTGTCACATGTCAGAATGACCCTGTGGCACAGGCTAAGATTCGCCCTGTTGTTGCACTGGGCCTTCTGCCCTCATCTTCAAATCACTTCAGTTATTGCCATCAGGGTCAGGCCAAACCATAGTCCTCTTCACTGCTCTGTGCCCTGGACATAAGTGTGCGTCTGGTGGTCATCTCAAACCAGTTTAGATCCTGAGCACTCGAGCCACAGATCTGACCTTTAGCTCAGAGACCTCAAGATCTCTGCACCTCCGTCCTGCTCAGATTTACAGCCCACAGAGAAGGACAGGGCATAGGAGGGGCACTGTCCAGCAGCTGCTCATGCTGCTCGTAAGGAGACATTTCACACAGAAACAACACCACAGTTTTCTGAATTCCTCCAGCTGACCAGTCTCCGGCTCCCAGATGCACTCTCTGACCTCTATTCAATGCAAATGCCTCTTTCAAACCTTGGCATACTGTCAAACAAAAAATATACACTTTTGTCATTTATAGTTTAGAATCTAAAATTGCATTCAAGATTCAAACCAAATACAAATTGTAAAAAAATAAAAATAAAAAAAAGTGTTCAGAATCCTCTCAGTTTCTTATGTTTAGGTCGCATGCAGGAAGAAGACGTGTGTGCACAGAGTGAGGATTTAATGGTCGTTTAGAGAGCTTGTGTGAAAGTCAAACACTTTTTCCCACAATCTAAAGAATGATCCATCATTCACATATGTTTACTTAAGACTAAAAAGGCCTCAGTCCGGCTCCTCTCAATCTGAGTCGTGTGATTACTACGACAAAAAAAGAAAAATGAGTGCCAGAGGACCGCTTTTAATGTGACTTTACTGCTTGGAGACGACAAATTAATAAATCACTTTGAATGGTGGCAATGAATATAACATAACATGTGTGGACATCTGGCCCGCCTCAAAATGGAAAACTTGTTCATTTTCAATAAAAAGTAAGTATTACATCTACCATGTTATCTGCAAAGTCTCCCACAGATAACCTCAATAAAGACATCATACAAATATGACAAAGAGAAAATAGGGGAAAGTAGACAAAAGCCATGCTAAATGCTGCTTTGTAATTGGCCACATTTTCTGTTCGTAGGGGGTCTTGGTCCATGATTGGCCATGCACTGTTTTGTAGAGGGTTATTCTAATCCTTTCCACACTCTCCGTGGGTGCTCGTAGCGCTTTTCCCACATAAATCAGTCTGGCCTCGGTGGTAAAGTCATCACCACTGTGTCCACTTACACTGCCTGTTAGCACTACCGTTACAGGAGTGTGCTAGCTGACACCACAGCTTTGACTTTTGCCGCCGAATGTGTGATTGTAACTATTAACAAGACTGGAAAAAAGTTCTGACGTGCATGATCATTTCAAGATGTGTTGGTCCAAAAATAGCAGGTCAAATTGGGCAGTAAAACGTTACATATGGGTGGTCCTCATCAATAGGTTTTAGTGGCATCACTATCAAGCAGAAATTGTATCTATTCAGAGTAATAAATAAAAAAAACATTCATTTCAAAGTTGTTGTTTTTAGATAAGAAGATAAAAGCAGTGTTATAAATGTTGTTCTGATAGCGGATTACAGCTGAGTGCTTTGCGAGAACTTTGTCACAGGTCTCTACACATCTCACACTTTCCCTTCAGAACAAACACAACTCTTCTTTCATCTATTGTACTGTGTTTACGGAGCACAGTAGACGAGAAAACAAGACATGATGGTGCAATACAGCAAGCAAACAGATGAAGTCGTCTTTGATGACATTCTTTGCAGTAACTATAGCTGTTAAGTTGTTTCATTAGAATTAAGCCTGTTTATATATTACTACAGTGATATGTATTGTGACAAAAGATTATGTTAAAACTACTTGATCTTAAAGGTATATAGGAGGATTTTGCCAAATTCTAGGAAAGAACCACCCTCACGAATGATGGACAATTGGGAGGACCAATAGTCTTGATGATCTACCCGGAAGTACAAAATCCTCCTATATACATTTAATGTCTTTTTAAAAATTCTTTAATCAGGTTAAAACATTGTTCCCTCATCAAAAACACACCAGGACCACACTAATCCAGACTAATATCATAAACTTCTGGCGAAAACATGTAACCCTAACCCTTCTGTCTATAAGCTCATATCTCAGTCCTGTATAGTATGATGTTGTTGACCATTATGACATCACACAACAATACCAAAAATGTTGCCCATTAATTCATTTCGGCAGTTTTTCCAGTGAAATTACGTTCATTTAAATCGCATGGTTGTGTTTGCAGTCGGTAGTTTTCTGATTTTAAAAAACAGATAAATTGTGGTAGCAGTTACAAGTGTAAAGCATTTTTTACCCCTCATACTTGTTTCACCGTGTATTCCATATATTGTCAACTTAACCTAAAAGATGAAATGTCAAAAAGTGTCTTTTTACTTTCACTTTCAGTACACAGTATAATTTAAGACAAGGTGCCTAATCCTAACTTTTGCCATAACACAGACAGAGTCTGGTAAAAGTAAAATGTTGTGAACAAATTAGACAGAAACATGCTGTCTTCACCTTATTAGAAAACACTTTATATTTTGAAGTCACTATTTGACTCTTTTGGCTGAGAGCTGATTAAATGAGTGAAGGTGGTCCTCTCTTTATCACTTTTTGTCTGAAAAAGTTGATCTAAAGGTGTGAGAGAGGCCAGAAATACACGCATGCGGAAACTAGTTTTGAGAGTGAAGAACTAGTCAAATGGATTATATTATGTATAGTGGCATTTATTTTTTAAGAAATACCCCGGCACAACACCCCCCCAACTCTGAGAGCAGCTCATCTGTAATACTTCACGTTCTTGGTTATAATTTAAGGAAATCTTGAATTATCACCATATGTCCAAGAACCAATGCACTAACACCTTGACGGGAAAAGCAACTAAAGTAAGTTAGGCATTTTACAGTGAAAGTAGCTTATACTTTGGTGTAAAATAAATAAATAAATAAAAACCAGTAGACACTTTAAACACAGAAAAGTCCAGGACATTCTCCAACTGGCACCGCATCAACACCTGCCAACACCTGTACGAATGAGTAACAAGTGTGTGCTTCCCGGACATTCACAGCAGACATTTACAACAACAAACAGCAACAGATCTGTCTTCACAAATCTGACATTGGGACATATACAGAATGCTATTACACTGTTGTCATGGAGCATTAATGAGTAAATGTTAATTAAAAGCTAAGCGAAGTGTTATTCCGAACAAAACGCTGAAACCATCCATTGACGACTTTCATGAACACAATGGATGCCAAAAAGCAGGAGTTTGTCAGGGGCCTAACAAGCTCCTTTCACTGACCCCTATACATGACATCACGCAGCCTAACAAACTGCACTCCGAAACCAGCCTCCGACATTCATGGCCCAACGCGGTAATTTATTCAAGGCCAGGACGGCCCAGGATGGAGAGAGAGAGAGAGAGGGGTAGAGGGGGGCGATGGCTGTGCAAGGGCCTTGTCTTTGGATATTAGTGCACTGCCCACCCCTGCAGAGAGAAACTGTGTCATAATACCGGACCCCTTTTATGATTCAAATAAAGCCTATTGTTTCTGTAAGCGACTGGCTCCACTCTGTGTAGCAGAACAACCAAGGCTCTATGCTGGCGCACTGCTCTGCCGTCGGCTGAAAAGATGAACAAAAAACAAACATGCAAAGCAGCACTCAAGCTGGAGTGTATGGAAGCATATTGTTAAGACCAATCTATTTTAAAGCTCCAATACCAAACCTTATAGTTGACAAATAGTTATAACATAAAATAGAATGTTTTTGTTCACAATTTATATTAAAAAGTATAAAAACATGTATCATAACTGTGACCAGGCTTGTATGTCCATGAATCTGACTCATACTGCCTGGAGAAGGGCCTCGACCTGTTTGTTCACATAGAAATGTTCCTCTGTCTACAACCATACACCATTTATGTCATCAAAAATAGGCCCTATAAAAAGGGGGAAATAAAAAAAAAGGGAACAGAAAATGCTCTATGGTATGGTTTCATGGTTTTAACTTTCATGGAGTGATGCATGATTCCAAAAGTTGGAGTATCCATCTTTCAAACCACAGAAAGTAAAAAATAAAGTAATAAAATGCACCCACTGTTGCCTCCCTATTTATTCTTGATTGTTCCATCACAGTTTCACATGAGCCTCGCTTTAAAACATGGACTATTCCGTTTTTTAGAAAGATTATTGAAAAAAAAATGGACCATACTCACTCAGCAAATCAGGTCTGAGCCCAAAGCATCAAATAGTGACTCCAAGGGCTTTTAATAAGTAAGAAAAAGACATGTTTCCTAATAAGATGAAGAAAACATTGTGTGATCTGATTTATTTACAAAGTGATGCTTCTACAGAAACTACATATATTATTCATGTTCTCCAGATTTAATTTCAGGAAAACTGTTCTATATAACCAATAGCTAAATCTTATGTTTCTCCATTGAAGTGAGGCTATATCTCTAAACTTAACTTGACAAACCCAAGGAAATCAGGATGATGATCTTAATGAAGTCCAAATATCTAATAAGAGGTTTGTGCTATTGTTTTAGCAGTGCTGTGGCAGTATTACCTTGGCATTACTGTATTTGAATGAGCTGAAGAAGGAGAGGGGTGGGGGTTGGAGGTCCTGCCACAGTCTATGGTCCTGCCGCAGCTCTCGTGCGCACGGGGAGAGAGAGGCCTGGGGGCGGGGTCAGACGCGGTCGTGGGACTCTGGGGGAAAAGTTTCTCTAAAGTTTCAGAAGGAGAAAGGAGAAGCACAGCAGCCGTGGCCGAGCTGCGCTGGATAATACAACACGCACTGGGGACGTAACAAAACTTTTTGATGCTACTTTTATTCTCAGAAAAGTTCTTCGGTTCCGGAGCCTTTGCCACTTTTTCGCCTTTATAAAGGATGTATTTTTGTTAAAGACCATCTTCAGGCGTTGGAAACGTTTCCATCGAAATGGAAGGGAATACCCCATGGATTATTTTGGCGTTTTTATTGTTCATACATCTGAGTAAAGGTAAGCCTGTTTGACTTTGAAATCACGGTTTAGTCTGGGACATGTTCAGACCACTTTCTCTCGGGCGCTTCTTTATCAGACGGGGGTCCCTGGGCTGGGGGGTGGTGCAAACTTATCACAGGGGTAAATGAGTTTTAGAAAGAAAGTTTAGATCTCTTATAACACTACAGCTTTTAGAGTTCAATAACTTTTCGATGGCTTTTGTGGTGATAGAAATGCAGCAAAAAGAGCCCGTATTGTAGACAGAGCATCAGGTGCAGAGATTGTCTAAACTGCTAATAATAAAGGAAACAACACATTTAAGACTCTAAAATGCTCTATAGTTGTGAACTAATACATGCATAGATCTTTAAAAATCGCTATGTGCTTATTTATAGTCATATAATGTATATTTTATTAACCTTTGAGGTATATTGCACCACATCTGTGTTATATGTTTCTGTGACTTGTGTGATGAAGAAGTCTCCACTATGTTTAACTAAACTAATGGTATGCTAATGGGGCCATTGAAGATGCATGAATGATAATCAGGAGGCCATTGTTGCCCATCTGAAGGCCCGTCTGTCTGCTGCTCTATTCACTTTGTCCCGTGTTCGCAGGTTTTCGCTGCATGGATAAAAACAGGCCGTGTGAGAACGGTGGGACCTGTATAGATTCATCTTCGAAATGCATGTAAGTGTAACCCACAACACAAAGCCAATGATGGGGGAAGGTGATCAAATCAAGGCACGTTTGAAATCCCAGACAGAACAAAGCATAAAGCAAAGGATTTGATTATTAGACAGGATACAACCTCAAAACAGGTTGAGCATAAAAATTAATTAGGAAACAGTGTATGAGTTTGGATCAAGTCGCAACAAGTAGCACTCTGTCACTCACCAAGCTGCACCTGTTCAAGATCTTTGTCAGGCACATCACTGCATTACTCACACTTACAATAAGCCAATCATATGTTGTTTGTAGGATCCCCCTTTTACATCCATTTTTCACCCATCACTATTAATTAATTCTTGAAACATTTCTGACCGCCAGTTGGCTTTTTCTTTTTCCTGTGGAGAGCTGTCCTTTTGTTTTTCAAATTACAAGAGGTAGGGGCTGCGGGGCCTATAGCCAGTTAAATGGCTTGTTGCTGGGAGTGATTCAGTCTTTGAAAACCTGCTTGCTCCATGGAGTGTTTTAAATGGAGAGGTAGGTCTTTTGGGAGAATTCCTTGGGTTGCAGCTGCTTCCCTCCAAAACCAAAATGACTCATTAGCTGGTTAGTAATTTACTCTTAATAGACCAGAGTCTGGAGTCTGGCCAGTGTACGGTTTGATCACACACCAATTATTGTTCTCTAGATTTTTGCAACGGCAACCAATGTTAAATCAAGCCTCTAAAAAGATGGTATCCCCTTTGCCTTCTTAATCATTAGCCAGTCTAGTCTGGCCAGATGCCTGGCTGCCGTTATGTAAGTTAATTTGTAATTTTACGGAGTTTGTATGTTTTCCGGGTTAAAATGAACTCTGTGGGACGCAGAAAAGTGTTGTATTCATTTTATATCTAAAGGGAATGGTACCTGGGCCTGAGATTAAATTATTTTAAAATAAACTGTAAAAAAAGAGTCTTTAAAAGTTCCTACTATGTGAGTCTTGCTTTTACAATCCTATGTGTTTTGTTGCCAAGTTGAAAAGTTCCTCCAGATCCCACAAGTGTCTGGGTTTCTAAGCTTTCATTAATCTTTTGTTTTGCCCTCGCCCATTGTGTACATATGTTAGCGGTGCCGGCTGTCCATGTGTAATCCCTCCACTGGTGCCATGCCAAAAAGCACATACATCAGATTTCTAACATCATGCGGGCACCGAAGTGGTTAGACCAGTTGAGGTGAAGGCAGCCGCCACTCCACCCCTTCCCCTGGGAAGCCACCGAAATTAGAGATCCTTCCAAAGCAGCAGAAAAGGCCCTTTCTTCCATCAGATACCTGGCCGAAACCTGGCCTGGTCTGATGGGGTGACTAGAAAGGCCACAGTCGGTACTCAACAAAGACACAGGAATAGAATGAACCAAGAATCATGTTTTGGCATTTGGCTGGAATTTAGAGGTGTTTGTTGTAACTTAATATAATGAAGAATGGTTATGTTCAATCTACTTTTGTCAATAGTGTGCACATTTTTCCTTGGAGCCAAAATCCTCTCAGGTGACAATGTGTACAACAGCATATATTGTTGCTGTCCCAGAAAACGAGTATCCTGTGCCTTAGATAACAATGCTATCATATTATAATATAGCTGCTGTATTCTTTGTGGCAGTTTCGATGTTGACTCTTTCCTTCCCTGGGAGACCTGTTTCAGTCTCAGTACAACATCACTCATGAGATCATTGAATAGCGCCGCATTCCCATCTCTACATTTGATATTTCTCTTGTAAACAAACACCGCGGAAATCCTGGCCTTTTAAGTGTAACCAAAACAATTGCTATTTTTTTTCTATGAAATGGCTACAAACAATTGACTGCTTTATATCAAGCCACAGTTTGACAAAAAAATTGGCTTTGGAAATCATGGGGATAAGCAGGAATAATAGCATAAAAAATACAGTTAAACACTTTCTCTATGGACAAGTAACTACTTAAAAAATGTCAAAATGTTTCCTTTTTTCTCACATATACTTAATTTAAGGGATGATTGCACTAAAAAGTAATATTTATCAGTACTGAATGTCAACATGAGCCAAGATACAACTTTAAACTCTATGATCCAGATCTCCCCAGAAGTCACCATAGACGTAGGGTCCAAGGATATTTTTTCCATTCAAATCTCCACTATCCACTGTTTGATGTGGTTTTACTTGACAGTGAAAAAGTGAATGGGTGTCCCCAAAGTTTTCAAGGTGACTGATCCAGGAAGTCCGGATGGAGCACGACTGGCCTCCCGGCACCACCCCTCAAGTGGAATGCTCAGCCTACGGGCCTCAGGAGAGATAATTAGGCAGATTGAGAGGGTGTCATTCAGAGCGCATCCAGCTGGAGAGATCGGAGGAGAGGGAGGGGGTTTAGGTGCTTCTGATGGGGGGGGGGGTGTAGGGTTGTAGCAGGGGACAGCTGGTGGATGTTGTGATGGTAATCCAGTGAAGTCAGATCTGAACAATGGGGGAAAGCGTAGGGCCAGGTGCTGCCATTGAGCGGTCTACTGCCCCCATACTGCGGCCGGCAAGCCAGTGGAGGAATGAAGCCTGTAGCTTGCTCCCTTTAACACATGTTGCATTCTCACATACCAAAAGGTTACGAATGATGTGATAATGTGTTAGAAAGCATGCCCATAATCAAGTACGTATGCTCTGCCACTCTGCGTATGTTCACAGTAGTGGAGCAGTGAGCACTTTGCTATGGCCCTCTAACTTATTTGATAGTATGGGATGAGTCTGACTGTGATTAGATGCAAGTGCTATCGTTTTTAGACAGACAGTTGTGTTTGATGCTGAATAAAGCATTAGTTTATATTACCCAGCATTAAAGAATAGACTGAAACTATACAGCGGGAACAATCATAGGTTTTTATGATGCTGTTCTTTTCATGGAACCAGAACTGCAAAGGCACAAAGAGTGAATAATATTGTCACCCTTGTGTGGATTTTGTAAAATAAACACTTTCGGCAAATGCACCAGCAAAAAAGGCTGATTATTTTGTTGGCTTAGGCAGCACCTCGGGGCGAGTGTTTTCTTTGGCATCTTTACGGTGGATTAGAAAGGAATGCTTACTAAGATTCCTGCTATCCCACCAGTGCGCTGACTATTGTCCGAGCTCCCATCCTTCACCCCGACAGCCCTCTGAGGAATGCACCTTAACAATACTGTTAGCCCACTGTCACTCAAAACATGACGTTCGGGATTGACTTTTAATTTGACTTGTATATGTTTCTATATGCTTTGGAGTTTTCAGAAAGGCAAAAGAAGCTGCTGAAATGTCATTGTCTGTTACAAAATCTGTCTCTGGTGAGATGCAGACAACTCAAGTACTACAAAAAAAAGCTGGTTTTTGGTTCCCTTATTTTGGGTCATTAGGGAGCACTGGAAGCTGTGGTTCCCAGGCCCCATCACAGGAAGTGGTGGCTTTTGACCCGACTGTTACGCATGTCCCTGTCTTATTGGTCTAGCTTAAGTGGCTACTGTATTTCTCATGATGTATTGTTCAAATTTGTCATGATGAGTGAATATATCAAGTCAATATTAGACAAACCAGTTTTCTGTGTAAATTAGTTTTGTCATATGTCGGCATTTGGATACTATTCTGATTCATCCTCTGCCCCAACCACAAGTCTAAGCCCGTCTGTGAAGTCTCATTCCGTGGCCTCCAGGAGATGAGAACTTTAAAGCGGCTCTGATTGAAGTCAGTCTGCAAGCAGAGTTTTCCAATTGTCTGTGTGCTTACGGAGAAGGAAGGACTCGTTTTTTCATCAAAAGACTCCTCTGGCTCTTTGATTACACAGACGCTTCATGATTTTACATTGTTTTTACAGAATGCGCTGTGGCTTTGGAAAGACTAGACGTTCAGCAGCCACACTGTTTCGTTACCACAAACAACCCATTATTATATGACATGTGTTTCAATAATTCACTTCCATAACGTCTTATGGGTAACATATGGGTAACATACTTGTTTGGGACACGGCAAGGACGGATTAGTTGATTATTTGGATTCCCTCTGATCAAAAACCTTGCTTCATTGATTCAGCAGGGTGGAGTTTTTGAACTTGAATATGATGATACAAACATGTGATTATGGTCTCTCTTGCTATTTCAAATATGAAGAGTATTTTTTATGCATAATACTTTGTTCTAGATAGGTGTCCATACGGCTTCTTTTGCACATCCCACTGGCTTTTGAATTGCAATTATTCTTCCCAACTGTCCTTATGAAACCCTTCGGACCCTTCAGCCTCGGTCCGGCTTGCACTCACCATGGGTTACTGTTGCCAGGCTACATCCCAGGCCTGTTGGTCCATGTAAGCTCGGGCCTGCTGAAAGACAAGCTGTTTGTTTGGGTCACTGCACCCCCTCCTCTTCTCTCTAGCACCCGCTCTTCGCAGCACCCCCACTGCCCAACAAGATCACACAAAAGAGTCCGGACTACTTCAGCAGCTCCTTTATTTGGACCACAAAATGCTCCCCCAACCCCCAGGCTTTTTTCTCCTGAGAAAGCCCTGGTCGAGCTGAGCTGTAGCAGAGAAGGACTGAGGAGGGGCTACAGAGGGCCTGCTTGTTGCCAATATGATGTCAGTATGGACTTTAATGAAAGAGAAGACCAGTTTCCTTGAGAAATCTCAAAAGGAAATAGTACCCGGTTTGACTTACAGACAAACTGCGATGAGTGTCTAAAACCAAATATATAAAATGACAGCCCTTTGTCTCATTGGTGTTTAAATCTCGCCTTAAGCCAGAGAAGGGCCACTTCTGTTGTTTCTGTTATTATCCAGTTATCCAGGAAATACCCTCAGAGAGCAGGGCAGTCTTTTATACTTGTTGCTTTGTAGAGCATGACGTGGTATATGAACCGTGGCACAGATTACAGACTCTTTGTTCACAGGTGAGCTCGCCTATGACCTCTGGCAGAGTCGCTGCTATTGTATACAACAAGATGGGCTCAGGTTACCCAGCTTCAATGACCCAGAAAGCAGGAAATTTGGCATTATGTTTCATTTGAGTTTCGTGGGTTTAAAATAAGTGGATGTATAACTATATAATACCATTTGTTGGAACTCATTTTTTCATACTTTTTCAATTTCCTCAGCTGTTGTAGGACATTTTACCACAAGTGCTAAGACTGGTTGTAAGTTTCTCAACCGTGTGCTTTGGGTGTGTAGTGGCTGCATGTGTTTGCGTCATTCATTGCCGTGTTTTGCTTAATGCTTGTGAAGAAACAGATTGTATTTTGCAGCATGCTGATCTTACTTATGATTGATGTGCATTTGCTAATAACGGAAGTATTTGGTTGTGATCTTGTAAATCAAAAATTCTTTCAGTCTAGCACCAGCAAAGGCCAGACAACTTGGCATTACACTGACAGATGTGGACAGATGCATGCTCCCAAAAGTTGCAGCTGTCCAAAAGCTTAACATGTGTCGACAACAGGAGCTTACCCACTATAGGCATGCCTCCTACGTCCTCAGAGACCTTCCCCTCGTCTGCTTCCTCAATGGTCAGAGGTCACCAAGTATGAATCAGAGGCCCATTGCACAACTATAGCGTCTGCACCTGCCTTGCACACATGACATCAGGAAGACTCGGCCTGCTTTTCCCAGAGCCAAAGGAATCCACAAGGTTGTAAAAAGCCTGATAAGGGACGCTCAGGTGCAGGAAGACATAGTAGCACATTTCTCACACCATTCTGCGTTGATATGAGCCCAGTCTAATTTGTGTGTTATGGGAGTAGAGTGCTGGCACTGAGTCGGGTCTAGACAGAAGAATGTGTTTTGGCTTTCTCAAAGATGCTTGCTGTGGTTGGAAGGCCAAAAAACATTTACTACTATCAATGTTTGTAACCTCTTATTCAACGGCCCTCTCCACATCTGAACCGTGGACACACCTCTAGAAATCATATTGCGTTATCACTTATCAGATACGGAACAAGCTGGTTCGTTAGTCTTCAAAAGCGGTGAATAATAACTCACAAGTATTATCAATGTGGGACATGGTGACAACGGAAAAGACCAAAAGACATTTTTAAAACCAGGTGCATACAGACTGCTCTGGACAGGTTCCCTCAATGGTGTTAAACTGAGGCAATTGGAAATATTTTACCATGACAATGAAAACATCTGGAGACAACATATGTCACAAGGAATTGAAAAACCTATTACTAGTGTTGGGCCCTACTTTGATTAAAAAAGCTGTATAATTATGGAGTTTGTTTTGAAATTAAAATATAAGCACCATACTATGCAACAATGAAACAAAATAAATGACCAAAGCCTTGACTCAGAGTAGGGGATTTGAGCTGGATTTTAGTGGGCAGTGGACATGGCATTGCAGGAAATATGACACGACAATTGTACAGAGCAGGCTACTCCTCCTTCGAGTCATCCTAGTGGGCCAATCCCAAAGTCTCTCCTGCGGCGCAGCCCCTCCCCATTCTCTACAGATTCACCAACATTATCATCACAATCAGTCGGGCACCTCTGACATCTGACCTCTACATGTGAGAGGAGGCAGAAGGGGAAATGTTTTTCATGGGACTTTAGTTTCCCAGTAGAAAAAAGTTGCCCAATTGGCATGTTATTGTGGCATGCGAAAGTGGGTGAAGAGATTGCATTTCAAAGTACAACTTGAAAATTAAGGCTGAAACGATTAATTTCAATGAATCAAGTTTTTTGCGTACATTTCAAGTTTAATAGTACAACAATTGATTCTGTCCAGTTTTGAAATATTATTGATTATTATTCTTGCATTGATTAATTGAAAGAATAATTACTAGATTAACTGATCATACATCCAATTATTGTTAGTTACAGCCCTGATATGAATGTTTGTGCCATAACATTTTATATTTTTATTGGAGACATGATGTAAGAATTCATGTTTTTGAGCTTTTCAAATATCTGTAATTTAATCATGTAAAACGTGTATATCATACCAAGATACAATCCAAGCAAAGAAATAATATCCTGTTGATCAGAAATGTCCCGCAATGCACCTTTGAAGGCTTAAAAATGTATGTTCTTAAGATATGTACTTCCTCCACGAGATGGCATGACATTCTATGGGCCTCTCTTCTTCTTGCACATGGATCACTCTAAAGCCATGATGGAGAATATTCAGCATGAAGCAAATTTCACTAGGATGACATCATACTATGCATTAAGCAAAAACTTAATTGCATACAAAATTCTACTTCTCACATTTCTCACTTCTCATATTCTCACCTGGTAGAGTTAAGGAAGTAGAAGTTCAGATATGAGAGGAGTAATACTGTCTCTATTTAACATACTGGTAATTGGCCAGAAGTGAAGTCACCACTGCACAATACCTGGTGATGAATAACAGAGGACATACTGTTGATCATGCCCAGGGCTCCTCTTCAGTGAAACAAAGTGCAGAGCCTGAAGGCAGGTCCTACAGATCACTGGCCTGTCATCAGCATTAAACAACCTGTTTGAAGAGAGGAATGGGGGCAGTCCACAGACTCAGCGGTTGGTGTAGAGTTACTGCATTTTATGAGCCCCCCAAGAGAAGAGCAATGTCCCGAAGGGGGCTAAATGTTATCTTTGGACACAGATTTCAGTTTAACATGAATATAATTTGAGTTAAATAGTCACTTGGGGGTCTTACATAAACATATTACTCGTCAGCACCTTATTCAAACATGTCACAGTACGGCTTAAAGGGCTTGTCAGTGTCATTGTGTATTATTCTTTTCAGCATGAGTGTTACTTGACCTGTGCATCAACTATTTTCTTACAGTTGCCTTTATTAGTGTGGCTATTAAAATGTACTGTTTTATTTAGGTGCCGCCCTGGATATATAGGTCCTCTTTGCCAATTCTCGGATCCCTGTCACCGGACACAGTGCCTAAATGGGGGAGCGTGTAAAAGCCAAGTGGTCAACAGTATTGCACAATACAGCTGTGTGTGCCAGAGAGGGTTCAGAGGTACTTGTTGGCTGTTCATGCACATTATAAAGGGTAAAAAAAATTAAAATTGACCAACTGTTCTTTACGTTTCATCTGTAGGCCAAGACTGCTCTCTCATAGATGCCTGCGCCACAAGTCCGTGCGCCAATGGGGCTCGCTGTGTCAATTGGAATAATCACTACAACTGCTCCTGTCCGCCGGGTTTTCAAGGAAAAAACTGCCGCAATGACATCGATGAGTGCAAGAAGCCTAGTGCCTGCCTCAATGGTGGCCTCTGCCTGAACACCCATGGGTCGTTTCGCTGTCAGTGCCCTCCTGGGTACAGTGGGCGCACATGTGAAATCTCCATCATTCCCTGCTCCCCGTCCCAGTGTCTCAATGGTGGAACTTGTCGACAAACCAGTGACCACTCGTACGAGTGCGCATGCTTGCCAGGTGAGCTATTCTGTCCCATTAAAAGACGATTTCATGAATAATATTATAACAAAACTGGAATTTAACACAAACACGGCGTCACTATGCTTCCATATTAGCTGTTTCACCTCATTTTAATTTATTAAACATGGATTTTGGTCTCAATGCCAGATCCTGTGAACTATTATTTGCTCGTGATGGGAGTGTGAGGGTGGGAGACTTGAAACAGCAGTCCTTTTGCACTCTGCCCTGTTCACAACACAAACATTTATTTATGAGCTTTTTGGTCTCCACTGGGGAGCATACAGGAAATGGCTCCTGCCAGAAAGGAAGTAATTGAAACTGTGAGAGATTATAAAACAAGCAAACACTGCTGGGAGCACTGGTCTCTGGAGCAGGCAGAAGCCATGACATTTTGCTGGCATTGTGTGGGAACCATCATGAAACCATATAAACAATCAGACACCCTGTGAACACTTCACTGCCCACCTCCACATGTGTGGGAAGTTTGTGAGGTGCATCTGGAAAAGGCCCCTATGCATTGAAAAGGCCAGAGGGCTCTAGAAGCAAGTTATCTGTGTATCATCATCATCCTCTCTCTCTCAAACACAGGTTTTGAAGGACACAATTGTGAAAACAATGTCGATGACTGCCCTGGTCACAAATGCATGAATGGAGGAAAATGTGTGGATGGTGTTAACACCTATAACTGTCAGTGCCCACCGGAGTGGACAGGTATACAGTAATTTGCAGATCTTAAACAAATATACCCCAGTAGATAAACACATTCTCACTCCTCTCATGTTTTTTCTTCACATTAGGACAATTTTGTGCGGAGGATGTCAATGAATGTCTCATGCAGCCGAATGCCTGTCATAATGGCGGTACATGCTTTAACATAATTGGAGGACATACCTGTGTATGTGTGAACGGCTGGACAGGAGACGATTGCAGTGAGAATATCGATGACTGCGCCACTGCCGTGTGCTTCAATGGAGCCACCTGTCACGATCGTGTGGCCTCGTTCTTCTGCGAGTGCCCTGTGGGAAAGACAGGTATGGAGGGTTATTGGTGTATTGTTAAAAAGTTGCTAAGTATGAAAAAAAAACAAGTTTTAAGTGAAGCTTTGTCATATAGGTTTGCTGTGTCATCTGGACGATGCTTGTGTCAGTAACCCATGTAACGAAGGAGCTGTATGTGACACTAACCCTTTGAATGGACGAGCTATCTGCACCTGTCCTGCTGGCTTTGTGGGAGGAGCCTGTAATCAGGACATGGATGAGTGTTCTATCGGTATGTGTGTTTTTTATTTTGTCATTAAAATTTTGTTAAATGAAACTAACAAAATGAATAATGTTTAAATTTCAGGAGCAAACCCCTGTGAACATTTTGGGAAATGTGTGAATACAGAGGGCTCTTTCCAGTGTCAATGCGGCCGCGGATATGCTGGACCTCGCTGTGAGATAGATATTAATGAATGTCTTTCTATGCCTTGCCAAAACGATGCGACTTGCTTGGATCGCATTGGAGAGTTTACCTGTATCTGCATGCCAGGTACAGTACATCACGATCATTTATATCACACATTATCACTCTCAGAAAATGTAAACTTGAACTTGTCTTCGGACAATACAGCCCAGACACTTGTAGACGGTTACGTAACACCTTGGTGCACCTCTGCTGTCAGTTCCCTGGTGCATCAGACAGGGTATTATTCTGGACTTTGTGAAGTTTTAGTCTGGTGTGACACAAACACAGAGAAACTCTCACGCATCATCCAACATGCATCCTGGGGTTTTGGGAACTATACAAATTAAGAGTTGTGAGTCGGGTCTATTGGACTGGATGTGCAAGAGGGTGAACAGTTAGGGGGAGGAGTGTGATGTGCATACTAATGAGTTGTAGAGTTGTGGGAATCAAGCTGAACAATAGGGGCCCTCTGTGCTCAACTTTGTACCCCTCATACACACCAAGAGGGAGAGAGGCTTTTTCCCAGAGCCCATGCCCCTCCCCCTGTCTTTTCAGCGACAAGTCCTTCCTTTTCACCGTCATCATCAGCCCTGGCAAAGCTGAGAATTACAGATATCAGAAGTACAACATTTGGATTTTCAGACAAATCACTTATTAAAGTTTGGTGCTCATGAACATTAAACAACAGACAAAGGATACACACAAACTTTTCATAAATATTCCCTGCTGTCTGTAGACATAAATCAACCTCAAACATGTCTTACAGGATACATGGGAACATACTGTGAAGTCGACATCGATGACTGTGAGAGCAACCCATGTGTGAATGATGGCATCTGCAGAGACATGGTCAATGGTTTCACATGCACCTGTCAGCCAGGTAAGTTTCATGCCGGTCCTAATTTTGCCTTAATGTCAGCACCTCATAGAATAAATTGCCAAGGTTTAAATGCCTCTCAAGAGGAAAATCTAGGCTTGCCACTGTTCAGAGCTACCACTTGTTTAAAAAGACAAATCGAGAAAGCTGCCTGTCCTGCTGCCAGAACAAAGACACCATTGTGACCCCGCTCCCCTCCTCTGTGGAATGTGGACAGGACAGCAGTCTCCCTAGTCCTGCCCGGCGCTGAGGGGAACAGCAGTCTTTTAATGAGATTCTTTTCCAGCTCCGCAATTTACATCTGGGACAGACGTCCCCCCTTAAACCCCCAGCTCGCTATTGAGTTTGTGGAGCTGATGCAGGAAGATTGTGGGGGGTTCCCAAAGAGAAAACAATCCCACCGTCTCCTTTGGCCCCCGCTCTCTGAAGCCCACGACTCATCCTTTTGAACAAGGCAGATCTTATTTTAATATTATTTGTTATAAAAAGCCCCTCTCAAAAGTTACCACATCAAAATTATTCTCTATGATGTATGCTGCAATTAAGAGACTGTAGTGATTTGTCAAGTTCACTGACTATTTTTCCAAATGGCGTTCTGTTCTGGAACATGTTTTTTAACCAGTCCACCCTGACCAGACATCAGTCACCCGGCCTGAGACCTCTGGCCTTCAGGAGCACTGCCCTCTGCCCCATGGCTGGATGTCTTTACTGGACCTACCCTCTGACCTCTCCCCTCTGTGTTTGCATGTCCCAGGCTTCACCGGCACCATGTGTCAGATTGACATCGATGAGTGTGCTAGTACACCGTGCCAGAATGGAGCCAAGTGTTATGATCGGCCTAATGGCTTTGAGTGTCGCTGTGCTGAAGGTAAGTTTTCAAATGAGAAAACAGGACAAAGAGTTTAGCCTATGTGGTATAATGTATGTTTGCTAAACCAGCAGTTTTTTCTGGAAATTTTGTGTAAAAACCTGGCAAATTGAAGCGCACTTCTCCTTTGATGAATGTCAAGATCATGGGTCACTTAGCATAGGCATTTGTTCTGAAAAGACCATTGGTCATTGGCTCTACATCTGTTCATCTCAAGCCTGTCACATTAAACATTCCTTCACATGTGGTCATTTTGAAGTTTCTAATTACATTAATGTTCATAACATTTTTATTGTGAGATTACTCATGAAAAGTATACAAATAATAAAATACAAGTATATTTATTTTGTTTATTTAGAGTAGTGCGGTGGGATCCATCATTGTTTCAGTGACCAGCTGCTTGGTATTCCCTGTGTTTGTGGGCCCGTTCTGTTGAGTGCTCCTGTTTGACGTGGTGCAGCCCATTGTTCCCTCCACCACACAGAACAAAAGCAGGACTGGGAGGCCTGTGCAGGGTCCTTCTTTAGTGCTTTGCCAAACTCAGCACTGCTCTAAACACACGCTACACAAACCAACACTTGTCTAGCTCAGACATTGTCGTCTGGGCAACCAGTGTGATTAGGCCCAAACTGTAGATGCTTTATAAAGTGTGAGGCAGATGGGAGATTCAATATTAAAGAGGAAAAGACTGCAGATTATTTCCAAACAAATTACATTTATATTAATAATACATGTATAGGCAGAAGTAAGTATCTTGTTTGTATTCCTTGTAGGTTATGAAGGCACTCTATGTGAAAGTAATATTAACAACTGCCAGCCTGACCCCTGCCATCATGGAACATGCGTTGATGGAATCGCCAGCTATACTTGCGACTGTGACGCAGGCTATACTGGGTATCGCTGTGAAAACCAGCTAAATGAGTGTCACAGCAACCCCTGTCAACATGGAGGCAAGTGTGTGGACCTGGTCAACAAGTACATCTGTCAATGTCAACATGGGACCTCAGGTAAGAAAGCGGTTCAAAAGTGTTGACGACTGTATGTATCTGTGTACAAAACAGCAAAGTATATAAGTGTATTCTGTTGTTAGGCACAAATTGTGAAATAAACTTTGACGACTGTGCCAGTAATCCGTGTGATTATGGAATCTGCAAAGATGGCATCAATCGTTACGACTGTGTGTGCAAACCTGGTTTCACAGGTAAGAATCATTCAATCCTCAAAATAATAATTTGTAACGTAACACTTACTTCTCTACTACCAGGACCCAAATGCAATGTGGAGATAGATGAGTGTGCATCCAGCCCTTGCAGAAATGGAGGCACTTGTGTGGATGAGGAAAATGGATTCCACTGTCAGTGTCCAGAGGGCTTCAAGCCTCCGTACTGTTACTCCCAAGTGGACGAGTGTGGAAGCAGCCCTTGTGTCCACGGTACCTGTAGAGATGACATCAATGGGTAAGAATACATTGTTCAAACCAATTTAATGCTTCAGAAAGTTGTTAGTAGGCCTTCCAGTTTCAAACTCAACACTGCCCCCTATCATCATATATTTTTTAAATCTAAAGACTGTCGATTATTTTTTTATTGTTTATTTCTTCCAAACAAATTAGCTGAAATTAGTTTGAAAAATTACCTTTTTCTGTACTGCTTGAAGTTACTGTGTTCAGATATTTGGCATTCATAAACCAGTAGTAGAGCGTTTCATATCGACTCCTTACTGCATATGATAACCACATCTTTCTTTAACCAGTTATCGATGTGATTGTGAACCCGGTTGGGTGGGGAAGAACTGCGATCTCGACCGTAATGACTGTTTACCAAGCCCTTGTCAGAACGCTGGCACCTGCATCGACCAACTCAATGGTTTTAGCTGCAAATGTCGACAGGGCTTTAGAGGTATCCTTTACCATTTCCATATTTGTACTATTTTCTCATTATAAAATAACAATCAATAATAAAAATGCGTGGGGTCTTTGTCAACAGGTAATCTTTGTCAAGTGAATATCAATGAGTGTGGGTCCAGCCCGTGTCTTAATAAAGGCACTTGTGTGGATGGTGTGGCAAGTTTCACCTGCATCTGCGAGGCTCCGTACAGTGGTCCGACTTGTGCTGAAGTCCTCACACCTTGCTCTCCAAACCCATGTGCCAATAATGCCATGTGCACCCATACAGCTGACTATTTGGGCTATCAGTGTAAATGCCAGCAAGGATGGCAAGGTAAGCCAATGATATTTTTGCACTACATTAGTCAAAGAGTTGTATTGACGTGGTTTGTTGTTTATAGGCCAACTGTGTAACAATGATATCAACGAGTGTGTCAGCAATCCCTGTAGAAACCGCGGGACTTGCACAAACACACTTGGAGGCTTTGTGTGTTCATGCAGAGGTGGATTCACTGGTCCAAACTGTGAAACAGACATCAATGACTGTTCTCCAAGTGAGTATCCAATACATGTACAGTATGTGAAAACAAAAAGTTGATCGCTTCAATCCTAAATTATGCTTATTTTCCTTTCCAGACCCTTGTTTAAATGGTGGTTCCTGCACGGACGGGGTAAATTCGTACCATTGTAGTTGTCTTCCAGGGTTTACAGGCCCTGGTTGTGCTTTGGAGATCAACGAATGCCAAAGCTCTCCTTGCAAAAATGGAGCCACGTGCAAAGACTATGTAAACTCTTACACTTGCACGTGTAGGCCTGGTTTCACTGGCATTCACTGTGAAACAAATATCCCAGACTGCACAGAAAGGTAAGGCTGTCCATCTGTTGTTTATTTGTTAATTTTTTACCTGTTGCAATCAAACAACTCATCTGTTTGTCCTGGTCTATAGCTCATGCTTCAATGGAGGGACATGCACAGACAAAATCAATGGTTACGCCTGCACTTGCCGTTCAGGATTCACTGGCTCTCACTGTCAGTACGAGGTAAACGAGTGCGACTCACAGCCCTGTCTGAACGGAGGCATCTGCCAGGATGCACTTGAGTCGTTCCGATGTACTTGTCCCAAGGGCTACACTGGAAACCGTTGTCAGGTACAGATTCAAACCAGTAACACATGCGTTAAACTATTATTATCTGTGTATAATATTCATTTGTATCATTGCTTTACATTTAGACACCAGTTGACTTGTGTAGACGATCCAATCCTTGTCAAAACAACGGGCGCTGTCGACAAAGAGATGCCACATTCACATGTGACTGTACAGGCGGTTGGTCTGGACGTTATTGTGACATCCCCAAGGTCTCCTGCGAGACAGCCGCATTTCAAAGAGGTACTTTTGATATACCAAGAAATACTGAATCTGTGCTTCAGACTTTTTTTATAACAGAGAGATTAAACTAAAGTAATTGTGCTCATTTTCAGGTATTCAAGTTGATGATATCTGCCACCACGGTGGTCACTGTGTCAACGTTGGAATGGCTCACATCTGTAGATGTCCTGCGGACTACACTGACAGCTACTGTGAAAGCCAAGTGGACCATTGTGAGGACAACCCCTGCCACAATGGCGCCACCTGCAGGGGATATGTGGGAGGATACCAGTGTGATGTAAGTGAGCCATAATTTCAGATTAACACTAGTTCAAGTGATTTGTCAGTATTTGATTGGACTATGTGCATGTTATTGCAGTGCATGCCGGGGTACACTGGACAAAGGTGTGAGATTGAGATCAACGAGTGCCAGTCACATCCATGTCAGAACGGAGGCACCTGCATTGACCTCGTGGGACATTACATTTGCTCCTGCCCTCCTGGAACATTAGGTAAAGAATTTGAAAAAAGAAAGAGAAAACTACCTATCCAATCTTAACTAAAGTCTAAATAAACACTTGTCATACACATTCAATATAAACTTGAATGTGGTATTTTTATAGGTGTGCTCTGTGAGATTAATGAAGATGACTGCGCTCCACCCTTGAGACTACGCAATGCCCCTCCAAAGTGTTTGAACAACGGCACCTGTGTGGACCGAGTGGGAGGCCATCGTTGTAACTGCCCCCCTGGATTTACTGGAGACAGGTGTGAGGGCGACATCAACGAGTGTCTCTCCAATCCCTGTAGTTCCTCCAATAGCCTGGACTGCATCCAACTGCCCAATGACTACCTCTGTGTCTGCAAGCCAGGATACACAGGTAAATCAGAAATAATGATGCTAAATTGAAAAACTAAATGTGTGGTCACACTAAATATATTTTGTTGTCCTTAGGTCGGAGATGTCAGAACAGATTTAGTGTTTGTGAGTCTCACCCTTGTCAAAATGGGGGGGCATGTTCTTTATCAGGCAACTCAGCGTTAGGATACACATGCACTTGCCAATTGGTAAGCTACACTAAATGGAATATTATTGGAATTTAGTACTGCTACTTCTTTAAGAGTCTAAGTGTGGTGTACTTTAATGTGCAGGGTTACAGTGGTGCTAACTGTGAGAGAAGCATGTCCTGTCGGGAGCTGTCTTGCTACAATGGTGGAAGTTGTGCTCTGACAACACGCGGTGCCCGCTGTTCGTGTTTGTCTGGATATGGGGGACCCCAGTGTCAACACCGCACAAATGAAGGCTGCTCATCTAAACCCTGTCTAAATGATGGGCTGTGCACAGAGGAGACCAGTTTCCCTTACTTCCACTGTCAGTGCCGTAGTGGATTTAAAGGGAAGCGCTGTGAGCAGGCTAACGCTCTGCCCGAGCCCCCAGTACCTTCGTGCCCTCTTGCTGATTGCCACAGCAAAGCCAATGACGGTGTCTGTGATAAGGAGTGTAACTCCCATGCGTGCCAGTGGGACGGAGGGGACTGTTCTCTAAGAGTTAACCCCTGGGCACGCTGTCCGGACCCTCGCTGTTGGCGTCTTTTCAACAACAGCCAGTGCGATGAGTTCTGCAACAACGCCGATTGCCTTTTTGACAACTTTGACTGCAGGAAGGAAAAAGTGTGCAAGTAAGTGCAATATTTCCTAATGATCTTTGTTCAGAGTCAAGAAATGTGACCTAACCATTTTGGTTACTTTGTCTAGCCCTTTGTATGAGTCGTACTGTATTGCCCACTACGCTGATGGACAGTGTGACCAGGGCTGCAACATGGAGGAGTGTGGCTGGGACGGCATGGACTGCGCACAGAAAGTGCCAATTCAAATAGCTGATGATGTGATGATCTTGATTGTCCTGCTACCACCTGAGCATCTGATGCGCACACAAACAGCTTTCCTGCAAAAGTTGAGCGCCATTCTGCACACTACCTTGCGGTTCCAAGTAGATGACAACGGTGAAGCCATGATTCGGCCTTACACTCGGTGGAAGTCTCGCCTCAAACGAGAATTACAACCACAGGAGGAAGTCATAGGGTGAGCATTGCTTTCAAATAATCAAATCATCAATGAACAATCAAAAAGTTAATCTGCTTTCCCGGTTATTGTAGTTCAATTGTGTACCTGGAAATAGATATTCGTCTGTGTCCAAAGGAAAATGAAGATTGTATAAAAACAGCAGACAGTGCTGCAGAATACTTAGGGGCACTTAGTGCCACAGATCTGCTCCCATTCCCTTATCCTATTGTTGAAGTCAGCGGTGAGTAACAACAACACACCTGTACTTTTCTTCACTTTCTGCCAACGTCAATGTGATTGTGAAAATGACCATTCATATTTTTTCTTATTGCAGTCAAAAAGACGTCAAACATTGATGTCATACCACAGTGGGTCAAATTAATACTTGTTGGTTCAGCATCCCTCATCCTTTTGGTGATCCTGGTCATTGGCATGTTGATCGCACGTAGAAAGCGAGAGCACAGCACTTTGTGGTTCCCAGAAGGATTCTTTCTTAAGAAAGAACCAAGCAGCAACAAGAATCGCAGAGAACCTGTTGGCCAGGATGCCTTGGGATTAAAGTAAGTACTTTCCTAATATTAATTGAATGTACAGCATATTATGCATAATGTAGATATTGATGTCTTCATGTTCTCAAATAAAAACAGGCACATCCCCAAAACAGTAGAAGAATCCCTTCTTGGAGACCACAGTGACCAGTGGATGGACTCAGATTGTCCAGAAGCAAAAAGATTGAAGGTCAATTTCTTTGAAATGTCATAAATAATTTAATAACCAAATACGTGAAAACCTAACCTTAATTTGGACTTGTGGTCAGGTTGAGGAGCCAAGTATGCTCTCTGACAGTGAAGACGCCGTAGACAGCAGACAGTGGACCCAACACCACCTCGCAGCAGCAGACATCCGTGTTCCTCCCACTATGGCTCTGACTCCACCTCAGGGAGAATTTGAAAGTGACTGTATGGACGTTAATGTGCGAGGTCCAGGTGAGTCCATTTTTTCACGGCTTTACAGCTTGTGCCTTTAAGACTAATAAGACTAAACTGTTTCTACCAGATGGATTCACCCCTTTGATGTTGGCATCATTCTGTGGAGGAGGCCTCGAGTCAGAGGTGACAGAGGAAGAGGAAAATGAGGAGTGTTCGGCCAACATCATCTCTGACCTCATCTATCAGGGCGCATCCCTTGCTGCTCAAACAGACCGCACAGGTGAAACTGCACTGCACCTGGCTGCTCGCTATGCCCGCGCTGATGCTGCTAAGCGACTTCTAGATGCTGGAGCAGATGCCAATGCACAGGACAACACTGGCCGGTCACCACTGCATGCAGCTGTGGCTGCAGATGCACAGGGAGTCTTCCAGGTAATCTATCTAGAATCTATTCATTTGTTAAATTGACTATGTCCTACATTATATCTTACAACGCATACATTTTTGTAGATCTTAATTAGAAACCGGGCAACTGATCTGGACTCTCGGATGTACGATGGCTCCACTGCTCTCATCTTAGCTGCCAGGTTAGCAGTAGAGGGTATGGTAGAGGAACTCATCACATGCCATGCTGATGTCAACGCGGTTGATGAATTAGGTAGGCATATCTAATGTTTTCTCAGCTGACAGCACATATAATCAATTCAACCTGTTAATTATTATATTTTTACTTTTATAGGTAAATCTGCTCTGCATTGGGCAGCAGCAGTAAACAATATAGATGCCACGGTGGCTTTGTTGAAGAATGGTGCAAACAAAGATATGCAAGATCTCAAGGTAAGACCTACATATATATGTATAACTTTGTTAATGTTATTACTGTCTGTTCTAATTGTTTTTCCATTTCACCTCACAGGAGGAGACGCCTTTGTTCCTAGCTGCACGTGAGGGAAGCTGTGAGGCTGTGAGGGTGCTGTTGGCACATTTTGCAAATCGTGAAATCACAGATCACATGGACAGACTTCCCCGGGACATTGCGCAGGAGCGTATGCATCATGACATAGTGCAGCTTTTAGATGAGTACAACACAGTGAGAAGTCCTCAAGGCCATGGAGGGGCTGGCCACCACATGCCGGGGGCACACACACTGTCCCCTCTCATGTGCCCTCCAAGTGCCTTTTTACCAAGTTTGAAAACCACACCTCAAGGAAAGAAGAACCGCCGACCAGGATCCAAGGGTTCAGGCCTTGGAGGCCAACATAACAGTCTGAAGGACTCAGTCAAAGCACGCAATAAGAAGTTAACTTTAGACATGCAGAGCGCTTTATTGGAGAGCTCTGTCACTCTGTCACCGGTTGACTCTCTGGACTCACCCCATGGTGGAACAAGCAATGCTGGCTACATCACCAACCCCACATCACCAGTCGCTATGCCATCTCCAGGGCTCTACCACACGTCTATGTCTGTGCCAAACACACCAATGGTGCACAGCAGCATGATGGATGGGGCAGGCCCCTTTGCAGTGTCTCTGGCACAGCTCAATGACCTGGGAAATGGAGGCATGTCTTTGCAAGGCCGGGTGTCCATGCCTTCAGATGTAAACCATGGTTTTGTGCTGAGTTCAGGTCAGATGGGGCTCAACATGGGCATGGTCAGCCCTGTCAGCGTGCCCTTTGACTGGCACAGTCGGATGCCTCCTTCTTCCCAGTGTGGACAGCAAGTGGTTAATCTGGTCCACAGCAGTCAGGCGGCTATGCACCCACAGAGCCCTGCAATGCAGCAACAGAACATGATGCTCCACCAGCAGCAGATGTACCGCAGCGCCATGCTTCAGCCCACACCGGTCAACACCACACCCTCCATCAGTCCTGTCAAACTGCCCTCCATTGCAGAGCACCAGCAGCTCATCAGTCTGACCACATCCACACCACCCACACCTCAGACCTCTCAGCCTGTCCCTTCCTTCTTCCAACAGCAGTCACAGCAGATGTCCCAGCCGCCCACGCAGCTGCCACAGACTCAGCCAGCACAAACGTCCACCCCAATAACACAGACCCCACAGCCGCTGCCACCCCAGCCCAGTGCGAGCACTGCAGGTACAGAGGACTACCCAACCCCTCCCTCTCAACACAGCTACACTTCTGCACTGGACACACCGCCCAAGCATTACCTTCGTTTACCCAGTGAGCATCCTTACCTGACACCATCCCCTGAATCCCCTGAGGCCTGGTCCAGTCCCTCCCCACAGTGTGTTTCGGATTGGTCAGATTCTACCCCCAGTCCAGCAGTCGCTAGTGCTGTCCAAACCCAAATTTCCCAACTCCCAGAGGCCAATGGGAAGATGCAAGTGTTTGCGTAAACCCCCCACAGCTCCTATGTAAAGAGGACACTGGGCAAAATGTTGGACTGGCCCCGGGCCCGTCCGTGTTTATGTGTCAGCCAGCTTCCAAGATTTTCATTGGATTTGGATTGACTTTATTATGAGGACTGTCTGCTAATGATGATTGCAGAGAAAAACGTAAAGGGAAATGTGTGTTGTCTGGTAAAGTAACAGGCAATGAATGAAGTAATTCTGTCACAGATGGACTTGTTTTTTATTATAAAAAATATATGAAGAAACTTAAGTCTTTAATTTCAAAGACTTGGGAATGTTTTCCTAAAACTAACATTTACAAGTAGAAAGAAAAAATGGAAATGTTGAAAGGAATTCATTTATTTTTATTTATTGTGTTTTATTTTCTTTTTGAAAATGTTAGGTGGAAAACTATCTTTCTGTTCTGGCAACAATTCACATGTGCATAAACTTCTTTTTTACAGACTGATTACATTTACATATACGTTTCTGAGCAGACATGGCTTCAATAAGATTCATTTAGGCCAGTTAATTGAAAGAGAAAATCCACCTGATTTTATTTATTTAGGCCTTAAAACTTGGTTCAAAGATTTACCAGGTTCTAGAAAATATATAAAAGTAGCCAAGCATTAGTGAGTGATACTTTCTGAATTAATTGAACTGTGGTAATAATTTACTTTCCAAATGAGTATTATGAGTAAGAATGTACATTGGTGTCTTTAAAGCACTTCAAGTGACCAGTCTGTGTGGGTCCAACAATATCCTTCAATGCATATTTATCATAAAGGGTGGCACTGAAGCTCTCACTATACTTCTGATCTTCGTAGACTTCAACAGCAAGATCTCCGTAAGGCTTTATAATATAGTCTTCTGCTCGCACAAACAAAATGAAGTTTGTGATTATTCACTTAACATTGGTTGCTTACTGATTCAGCTCGTCACTGCCTTTTTGGTTTTTGTTTTAAAATTTTTATACTTGTATATTTGTGAAATCTGTGGATACATTATAACATACTCAGATGTACTAAGCTATACTTATACAGCTGCTATTTTATATCAATTTCCCTGCCTAAAGGCTGAGTCTGTCAAATGGCAACATCATTTTAGGCCCATGTCATGTCCCTCTATGGACTAAAACTAACATTCCTAGGTTCCTGGAGCTCTGGTGGTCTCGGGGGTCATGGCTACTGGGCTCTGTCTGCTTGTGCCCGGTCACTCCTAAGGGAGGTCTTTTATGGCATGCAGGGGTCGCTCCCTCTGCATCTATAGCAGCAGTCCAGTGTCAGAAAGTCTCCTCCTAAACTTTTAAGTTAGTGAAGAAGTCAACGCTGCTATGTAGTGCTGCATCCTTTGCCTTTACCGTATGTTTAGAGGGACACTTATTTCACTCGAGCACTGCCCAAGAGTATGAAACATCAATATAGGCAATTCAAATTAAAGCCATAGTTTCTTGGTAGACTTTATAACCCATATAGAGGGGCATTGCTGGTGCGGAAACCTATCACAACCTGAAAGTGTGTCATAGTTTTATTTCACCGTGCACTAGATTGTCCAGCCTGGGAACCACAGTTTATGTTGTTGTTGTTGTTGTTCACATTTCATTACAGACTGTGCACTCTGAGTGGTTATGTTTCTATGTGTTTTGTACATTTCAACAACCCATTTCTGTTGTAAATATGATTGTTCTGGGTAGTTATTTGCTTAAGAAGTATAAGTAGTACTTATGCCTCTAAAATGATTATGTACTAATAAGAATAAAAAAATAAAATGTACTTCTTTTAGCAATATTTTATAATGTGACTCCATGTTTATTTTCTTAATTTGAATTCATTTAATTACAGAAAAGATGTAGGGCTGTCGCCGCACAAATACGTTCTCTACAGATTATGCAGTGGGTGTGAGAAATACTCCAAAACCTACATTTAGCAAAAAACTACTATTTTGATTCAATGAATTGAGAGTCTGACCTGGGTGGAAATTTTTGCAAATCTGACCAAAGAGTGGAGCAATGTCCAGGAGATTGTACAAAAGAGGTCACACATGGCTGCTGATCTCAGTGAGCGGTTTACCAAAGGCTACAGCGGTGTTTACATCATCTACCCAGCTGGACCAAGGAAATGAAGGCACAAAGAGGACGGTATATATTTACTGCATATTTATGTTTTTGCTGTGTCAATAGTTATTTAAAAACAACTCTAAAAGACAAAAACACTAATCGAGCTGACCTCCACCTTTCCTTTAAAAAAATCCTGTATGAAGACAGAAATATGGATGAAGGGCATTAGTCTGTTTGCTAATTATAATATCAATGTATAATTAATAATAAAACATATTAATCACAATACAGCTAACTTTAGAAAAGTCTGGGACCAGTACAAAGCTGCTTATGGGCAAGAAAATGAGAACTATACTGGGTATAGGTAAAGGCCTAAAGGACAAAATAATTCAGAGAAACGAGGTAGTTAAAAAACATTCACGGGAAAAACAACAAGATAATATTAGTTTTAGGACTGGAGATATTCTCAGTACTTGACTCTTTAAGGAAAACTTATGAACTGAGAGTGATGATCATTTCAATTCTATTTTAGTGGGTTCAGAATAAATAATATATACAGTCTATGGTTCAGAGGAGGAGGGCAGAGGAGCAAAGACATACTTGGGTAGTTGGTGTATCTGGCAACCAAGAATCACCCGGTTTACGGTAACATGACAATGAAACTATGACCAACTAAACATGTCTAAAATACACAATAACGATGAAATCATAAACTTATTACCAGCGTGCTTGCGTGTATGTGTGTGTTTGGGTACATGTGTGAGTTATTTGGGGCTGTTACAAAGACAATATAACAGAAAAATAACAATTGTAAACCGCTTTGTGACTCTGGTCTGTGAAAGGCGGTATATAAATAAAGATTACTTACTCACTTACTTACTTACTTACTTACTTACTTACTTACTTACTTACTTGGAAACACCATAGGACAAAAGAGAGCGTGACAGAGAAACGGATACAAAGTAAATGTAAGTGAAGTTTTGCTACATAGTAAGTTGGGTAAGTTGGTGCAGAACTTCACCTATGAGCACTTTCCGAATAGGCTTAATAGAGCTAAAAGTGTATACCTATATACAGTCTATGGTTTCACAGACCAGAGTCACAATTGTGGGAATTTGTGTGCCACTCCACAAAGAGATCGGTTTCATCATTGTCATTACTCGTCTGTTTTAGTTCTGTCCTCGTTCCCTTTTTTTGCTAGATCTTGATTTGTATTACTTTTATTAAATCCGTCATTTTGCAGTTTTTGCAATTTGGGTCTTTGACTCTTAAGCGGCTATGCGCCGTGTTTCACGCTTCTCTCAATGTTTTAAAAAAAGTTGAGAGTGATGCACTTCCATCTCTGAGCAAAGACTGAATCAGTTTACCCCAAGTTTAACCAGAATCAGCAACAGTGAATCCATGTTTAAAGAAAACAAATGACTGGGGTTATGAACAATTCCCCATTTTTGACTGATCTGCATAACGCACAATTCATTTGAATTCAACAATATATAGGATCCCTCGAACAATTTGGTCTTGAGGTCGTCCTCGGATTTAAAAAGGTGGGTGACCCCTGTGGATGAAGATGGCTGAAGCTGACATGTCAGATAATAGTACATTTTAAACATTACAGTTAAGTGCTCTTTAACCAATTTTATTGATATTAACCTCACGCGATTACAATAACATCGTAAGCTTTAATTAGTATGTATATACTCTCCCCCCTGGACTGCTGCCACCTTAACGTGGTGGGGGAGTTTAAAGGCGCGTTCAGACCGGATCATGCGTTTATGGAGGACCGTGGCTGCCAAAACAATAAATATATACAGAAATAAATAAATACATTTTAAAAAGATAAAATTTGCAAAGAAATGCATGCAATTATGAGAATAAGTGCATTTATTTCTGTATTTTATTCATATATTTATTTATTTATTTATTTATTTATATATTTATTTTTGTATTTATTCATACATTTATTTCTCTATTTCTGTATTTCTGTAAGTGTGTCTTTTTGTATTTATTTATTTCTCTATTTATTTATTTTTGCATTTATTTATTTATTCATCTATTTATTTATTTTGCATTTATTTATTTATTTCTCTATTTATTTATGTATTTCTGCATTTATTTATTTTTCTATTTATTTATTTATTTTTGCATTTATTTATTTATTTTTGCATTTATTTATTTATTTCCCTATTTAATTATTTTTGCATTTATTTATTTATTTCTCTATTTATTTTTTTCTCTTTATTTATTTTTTTCTGTATTTATTTATTTCTGTATTTATTTCCGTATTTCTCATAATTATATGCAAATAATGGGGTGGGGTGGGCCGGGATGCCTCTGCTGTAAGCTCATTGGTTAATCTTTTTCCTTGCTCCACACTCGCGCCACCGTTTGTACCATGAATATGGCTCGGTCAGTGCTGTGGCCGCGTCCACTTTTCAGTCTCTCTCCGCCTTCACTGAAAGCTCCAGTGTCTGAGTGTAAAACACACACTTCGAACGCTGGGTTTTTCGGCGGACATCAGCGCTTTGTAGTAAAATACACACGAGCACCTGTCACTGCCTTTGCCAAAAGCCTCTCACGAGCCGGACAGGGAAATGAGCATAAAGAGGCCGACATCGTGGACTCTCAGAGCGGAGGATGATCGTTAATACTCCTCTATCATATCAGCTATGTTTTATTTTATGCCCAGACAACACGGGAGCAGTGTTGCCAACTCCTCAGTAAGGAAAGTAGCTATTGGCTGTCCCAAAAGTCGCTAGAAGTCGCTAAATGACGTCATCGCCTAATTTGCATAATTGGCAATTTGCAAATAACTGTAACGGACGCTGTAGGAGAGAGGAATAACGTCGTGGGAGAGACAAAAGTGAGTAAAAAACACCCTAAATATGTTTAGAACTACTAATGTACAAAGATAATTTCAACATTAACAACATTTAATGATTTTAATGCTTTG